GCCATGGTTTGCTCGTCTTAAATGTCCTTGCACCCAACGGTTCCCAAACACCACCATACTCATTTCTCTCTGCCTATGAAGAGTTTCCTCCTCCAGCAAATCTATACATTTACCAAATACTCATTGAATCATTATTATGTGCTAGGCACCGTTCAAGGGTTCGAGGGACTGGGATTACCTACTGTATTAAACAACACAGTCCCTGAGTTTGTGGAGTTTAGGCTTACAGCCTTTGAAACTCTTTATTAACCACACCAAGGCTTCCTTTCTTTGAAATCACCATCGGTGTATTCACCCAGGCTAGAAATATGAAACTCATCTCTGACTTGCCACTGTCTATAGTCAGTCATTTACAAAATCCTGCTCTTTGTTATCTGAACAATTCCACGTACACCTTCCCTTCTCCCAGCTGTCCTCTTGCTATTCTAACTTAGGACATCTTGGATTACTTGGTTTCTCTGCCCCTAGGCTTGCCTCCCTTAAGCTTAGCTTTCCTTCTATGTACCACTCATGACTTGTTTAAAACTAGAATGTGGTCAAGCCTATTTTCTCCTCATAACCTTTTTAAGAGCCCAACCCATTTGATAAGGCACACACAACTTCTTATGATCTATCTTTGCCTATTATCTCTTGCTTTATTATTCTGCATAGATCCTATCATGTATTTTTGCCTAGGTTTTCTGTGTGTGTGTGTGTGTGTGTGTGTGTGTGTGTGTGTGTGTGTGTAAAACTCTAATAAATCATTTTTTTTCCAGTAATAGGGATTGAACTCTTGGCCATTACACTGAGCAATAGCTTTTTCTGAATTTTTAGATATGGTCTAAGTTGCTAAATTGCTCGTGCTGGGCTCAAATTTGGGATCCTCCTGCCTTGGTCTCCCAGAGTGTAGAGATTACAGGCTTGGATCAGCTTACAAATCAGTTTTTCATTTTTTGGTGGTGGTGGGGTGTTTGAGACAGGGTCTCACTATATGGTTGAGGATCACCTGGAACTATGGAGCCCAGGCTGGTCTCAAACTCACAGCAATCCTCCTGCCTCAGCCTCCTAAGCTGGGATTACAGGCTGTTTTTCATTTTTTGGTGGTGGTGGGGTGTTTGAGACAGGGTCTCACTATATGGTTGAGGATCACCTGGAACTATGGAGCCCAGGCTGGTCTCAAACTCACAGCAATCCTCCTGCCTCAGCCTCCTAAGTGCTGGGATTACAGGCATGTGCCACCATGCCCAGTTTACAATTCAGCTTCTTTGTGTGTGTGTGTGTGTGTGTGTGTGTGTGTGTGTGTGTGTGTGTGTTTTGTTTTTTGTTTTACTGGAGTTTGAACTCCAGTCCTTGCGCTTGTGAAGCAGGTGCCTAAACCACTGAGCTAATTCCCCAGCCCTTTCAATTCAGTTTCTTGATGGCTGCTTTGCACATACAATATCTGTAGTCTCCAGGCCAGGCACAGTGCCTGATATATACTGGTCCCTTATTAGATTTTAAACTAAACTAACTCGTCCTTGTTTTATACATCTTCAGGTGTGTATCTTGCATCTACAACTGTACAGTGCATTCCTTGGGGCAGTCATTAGTGCTATTTACACACGATCTAAATCTCTTCCTCTGAGAAATTATAGGTTTTATTTACAACTTCCTCCAATGTTAGGGATGACTATGTGACTTCTAATGGCCAATGAAATGTGAACAGAAATAGCATGTGTCATTTCTTGAAGAAAGCATTTAATTGGCCAGTGTGAGGCACAGCTACTGTTTCCTCTTGCTGCAAGGGAAGTGACTAGGTCCCTGGGAGACTAAGATGAGCAGAAACTTCTGCTGTGCTCTAAGTAAAATAAATTATTCATAGTCCAGGTACATGTGGGGATTGCCCATTGTGGTCATGTAATGTAGCCAATTCCAACTGTTCTATTTCATGAGGACAGGACCCACACCACTTATCTTTGTGTCTCCGTATTGCCATGTTCAAAATAGGCTACAATATAGTTAAATGTTAATTTCTGATTTTCAATTTATAATGTCCAATTTCAAATACCCCGCTCCTATCTACTGCTGCTCTTTCTATACTAAAGCACAATTTCTGCTGGTTTTAACACAACATGGTTTCTAAAACATAAAACATAAAATTTCTAATCAGCTCATAATCTGGCGTTGATCACTTGCAGAGTGTGCTGTAGGAATGAAATGTCACCTTCTGACAACTGATTGAAAATCCCTGCAGCTCAGCTGCCGGCAGGGCTCTTCAGGGACACAGAAGGACTGGAACTCCAACACATGCCCTGCAGCTGAGCCACAGAGCCAAGGAGCTGTAATAAATTAGCTGGCTAGGGGACGACGTGCCTGTTGCAGTACGGGTCTCCCTGAATGCTCTGTCCCAGCAGATGGCACAATAACACGGCAATAAATGTAATCGAAGTGTCTCTCCATTTGCCTTCCTATGCCTTTTTAAAAAATCCCTCACTTTTGAACATATTATTCTGTCAGCAGGAAAATAAAAATCTATGATCTTTTAAAAATTGCTTTGTAAAACAATGGAATATGTGAAAAAGAAAAGGATTTCAAAGCAGTCTGTTCCTTAAAGAAATGCTTGTGTTTATTCTCTGCAGCCCCGATGGCTACTGGAAAGGCATATTTTTTAATCTTCATATAAATTTATTATGCATCACTCTAGTCTTCATGCACATGAGTACACAGCTAGTTGTACACTGCATTCATTAGCTCATCCAACTAAAAAACAAAGAATCCATTCTTTTCCAAAGAATCCGTATTTTCTTCCCCCATTAATAGTTGTAACATTATTCCTGTTACCTCCTCCAGCAGCACACTTCCAAAAATGCCCTTTCCTAGGAGTAAATAGGTTTAACTAATCAAAAATCATCTGCTGAAATTGAAAATTAAGCATATAGGAACTGTTTCTATGGTACTGTTTTCTAAAAATCAATTACAAATTATTAGCCAAAGTTTTTACAAAATATTTAAAGTTTTCTTGTCTTTTTCTTTTTTTGAGACAGGGTCTCACTATGCAATTGAAATTGACCTGGAACTCACTATGTAGCCCAGGCTGGACTCAAACTCACAGCGATCCTCCTGCCTCAGCCCACCGAGTGCTGGGATTACAGGCATGCACCACCACACCCGGCAAAGTTTTCTTATTTATAAATGTCAAGTGTTTCATTTTTGAGGAAAATATGTCTACATTTATTGTAACTATAATGTAATTACCTAAAAATGCTTTCTGAATGAATCTCCAAAGTAAAAATAAACCTGTAGGGTTCTTATAATATTTAACAAAAGCGATCTAAAGAAAGAATTCAGAGAGACAATTTGGTATTTACACGTGTGTCCTATTTATTTTACTTAAGAGTATGCCCTCAATTTGCATAAATATCTCTAGTTTATCATTCTTCGTGGCTGAGTAGTACTCCATTTTATAAAAAATAAAGAGCCCACATCTTCTTTATCCAGTGACCAGTTGACAGGCATTTGGGTTGTTTCCAAGATTTAGCTATTACAGACTGTGCCACTATAAACATGGTTGCACATACATCACTGTGGTATGATGCTTTTAATTATTTTGGGAAGATACCCAGCAAGAGAATGGCTGAATCAAATGGAACCTCTAATCCTAGTATTTTGAGGAATCTCCACACTGATTTCCACAGTGGTTGCATCAGAAACTAAAAGTGTAAATGAGGACCAAAATGTATAACAGATAATATGAAAGAGAGAGAAAAGGTTCATCGGAGAAGTAGGGGAGGTTGGGGAAAGGAAAAAAGGGAAAGAAAAAAATACGAGAAAAGAAGGAAAAATCGGAAGCAAAGCTTTTGTAAATAGGGAGGGATAGAAGATTGAAAGGGAGGGAAGGGGAATGGGAAAAAACAAGAACTAAGATAGATTATGGACAGGTACAAATTCCCAATGATGAATGTGATCATAATGTAAAACTAAAATATACCAATAAAGTTAATTTTAAAAAGAGTCCAATGTGTTCCCTTAAAAGAATATTTAGAGACTACAGAAAATATTTCTCCAGTGTAAAAATACACAAACACTCACACAAAGTGATTGCTCGAGCCTATGCTATAAAAGGAATAGAACTCCTTTTACAATCAGTTTGGCCATGTTTCCAACACAGGCTGAGGGATTTGGTTTTCCCCATATAAGGCACCAACAAAGATTTCAAATGGACCAAACATTTTATATTAGTGTCAACAGCACTAACACAGCTTCAGCTGGCAGAATACAGGGAAGCGAAGAATATGTGTATTTATCATTCCAGAGAAAATGCCTGAACACCATCTGTTCTCAGCCACCCTCTCAGCCCAGCCAGCATGGCCCTTTCTGTGGGACACACTTGCCCCAGTCATGATTCTTGGCCTAAGAATTTCAAATCCCAATTTCCCTTGAATAAAGAGATTTGGAAAGTTAATTTCAACAGAGCAATTAGAAACACAGAAGATCTCGTAATGCTGCAAACTGTTGGTTGCCGAGCTGTAAAACAGATGATTTGTTCCTCAATTTTATGCTAAAATTAAATGTACTGTAATCCTTTCCCTTTATTATAGGGAGATAGCAGGTCCTGGAACTGAATTATGATTAATCTCATGCTCTAGTTTCTGTGAACTGGTTCAAGCACACAGAAGTTGAATAGGAAAGCCTATTGAATTCGCAATGGGAAATAAGTTGCATCGAACAAATAAAAGTTTTCAACACACCTACAAATCACATACAATGTCTACAACATTTGTGTTTGGTTGATTTTTACAAATAATTTGTCCCACTCTGAAAAGCAAGGGGACCATATTAAAAATATAAAGACCAAAGATCCTAGATTCACCATATTTGATCTAGATAGACTGTAAAAAGAAATATTAAAATGAGACTCCTGAAGAGAGGAAAACCTAAGAGCTTTTCACTAAAAATAAAAACAGCCCACTTATATAGAAGCAGTTCAAATTTTATTTATAAGCTTAACAGAGTGAGTATACAATATTTTTCTTTTGGCTAGATTAAGAAAGCAGAGATAAAAATATAAAAAGACCCCAACCTTTCCAAAACCTGGTCTGAGAATTAGCTTAGAAATAGTTGCTTATAGAAATAAGCCTGTGGCAGCCAGCATTTCTCACTAACCTGAAAGTATCAAGTGATTCCCGCTTTTTTGCATCTTACTAACATTGTTCTGATGATTCTAATAACAGGCAAAACCAATTATAAACATAATGTAACATTTTTCAGGCAGTAGGGATAAAATGAGTTTAGTAATCAGCATCTGCAAACACGCATACCTAATGACAGGGAAATTGACCATCCCTAACTGCTCAGCTGAGTGGGTAGACAGTTGAAGCGAAGGTAAAAAACAGTGAGGCTGAGCTAAATTGCGTTAAGGAAAAGCATCTCATTAGGTTTCTCAAGGTCAGTTGATGAAGACCAGGTAGAAATTAATATTCCTCATATACCCTGAAAGAGAAAGAAAACAAAAATTACCACAAGGAGCAAAATAAAATTCAAAGCCTTTGTAGTCCAAAATGAAGTTCCTTCAAAGAATAGTCAGACTGCATCAGGCTAAAATGAGCACTTTCTAATGACTGAAAATAGCAGTGAAATGGTTTAGGTCACATTGCATTTGATTCACAACACAGTGTCTGTGAAGAATGTAATGGCTGTCCAATGACGGCTTATTGGCTATGTTTGTAGGACAGGCCAACAGGGGTCACAAGTAATAGAGTTCACCAACGTTGTCACAGCTTCCACAGTTGTAGCAAGGACAGAACAGACACAATGTGGAGCAGAGCCATTTAAATGGAAATGTATCGAGTTCAAGTGGAGCTGCATGGTACAATGAGGCAGCAAGGTGAGTTTTAAGGGGATCTTAAGGCAGCGAGACAAAATAACCAGTCCCCACCCCCAGTGAGCACAAAGGATCAAGAATTCTCCATCAGGTACTCTGCAATGCTGGGCCACATTGCCCTTGGAATACAGACAACAGCTATTTCTTCCTAACACTCTGGGAAACTAAACTCAGGCTGCCTCAGCAGTCATGGAAAATGCTTAACTGCCCTTGAAGTCATAGGATTCAGGGTTTCCATACCATCCCAAAAGGCCTTGCCCACTCTTATCAAAGAAAATAACATTTAAAAGAGATTTTAAGTGTCCCATTCTCAGTGGCCTCGTGAAACCTTAAAGAGAACTCTGGAAAATCCGAATATATTTCTAAACTATAAAAGCAGTTTACTGAAGCATAGGTGTATATACTACCTGATGGGAGATGACTGCAATTTCAAATGATTTTGGGAATGAAGATCAGCCCAGTTTGTTTACCCAACATCCACTTAGGTGAGGCCTGCTGCTTAAGTGTCCATATGACATTTCAAGACACAACTGTCTCTTTCCATAGGTTTCTCACGGTTTTATATTTTTCTGTTTTCCTCCTTTTCTTCTCTGCCTTTTGCTTTGTACTAGTTCCAAAGGTTCTTCCAAACCCCATCTGTGACTTGGGGCACAGCTCTCTTCTTACACTCTTCGGGGACACTCCACCCTCATCTATTAACATCTAAATAAGTGACATACTCAGTTACATTCTTTATACAAACGTTTGTCCCTGTGTTGTTCATAAAATATTGTATTTCAAGAATGAAGGCTTAATTTAGGGTTTCTCTTCTGACTTTTGTATGTTGACCTTTGATGAATAGATGTTTTAAATTTTAATGGAGACATATTTCTTTTGGGTTGATATTTTGGATATTACAGAGCCTATCATTTGCTCAAATTTATAAACAGCCTCTTTAATTTTCTTCTAAACTTCAAAGTCTTCCTCCTCTTTCTCAGTTTTAATCTTACTGAAGCTGATTTCTATGAATGGTATCAGGAAAGGACAGAATTGCATGTGTCTGACCACCCCACAGCATTTGTTGCGGGATCCATTTTCCCCAACGATATGCTGTGCCTCTGTGGGACAGATCAAAATTCCAGAAATGGTTGAGGCTGCTGATGTCAACTGCATGTATATTAAATGATTAATTAAGATTCTATGTATGCCTCTTTATATTTAGAAGCTAGCTATTTTTGGTTCTTCGCTTTCATTAGAATTTAAACCTACAGATTACTTAAAAGCTCATCCTTATCCATTAATAAGGGATAACCTTCCATTTATTTATTCCCTAATGTCTTTCTACAACAATTTTGTACATAGTTCTGGCATCTTTGGTTGGTTCTTTTTATTATAATTCTTGTTTACTATTCCAAAGGTGTAGAAATGAAGTTACATTTTATATATTGATACCATATCCACCAACATCGCAGAGCCCTTGTTTATGATAATTTGACTAGAAATTCTCTTTGATGTTCTATATAAATATCATCTTTGATACAATTTATAATTATTTCCTTTTCAGGTCTTATGTTTTATTTAAAGGAAATATTTTGATGTATTTTTATCATGGAATTTTGATGTTGTAATTGAGGAAATTTCCTTGCTATTCCTCCTTTATTAGAAGTTTTAAATGAATATTAAAATTTAACAAATGCTTTCTGTTGAGATGCTCATATGGAAGTTCTACAATCATGAGGTAAATTATCACAGAAATTTTTAATTTTGTTTTGTGATAAGCTAAGTTTGGATTACTAGAATAAATGCAACTTTATGAAGATACGTTTTTTTAAAAAATGGTATCAAATCTCCAAATTTTATGAATTTTTTTAGGGGGTTCTGGTGGCACATGCCTATAATTCTAATACTCTGGAAGACTGAGATAGGAGGATTGTGAGTTCAAGCATAGTGTGCAAAACTTAGCAGGATTCTGTCTCAATAAAAAACAAACCAAAAAAAAATTTTTTTTAAAGTCTGGATATACAGCTCAGTGTGAAGCCCCTGGGTTCAAATACCAATACTTAAAAACAAAATTATTTCTATGAGTGAAAACGAGTATTTTCCAGTTTTTCTCTGATTTTAATTCAGAACTACATTTGCCTGCTTAATCATTTTAGAGAGCTCTCTTATTTTTTTCACTTTCAAGTGTTATAGACAATTGATATTTTTTCTTTGAAAGTTTAGTAAACTGTTCTAAAATCTGCCTAGGCCTGGCTTTTATTTTATGAGAAGACTTTAAAAAATTGATCTGGAGAGGTGGACATGGTGATGCATTCTTATAATCCTAGCCATGTGGTCCGCTGAAGCAGGAGGATTGCAAGCTTGAGCCCAGCACAGGAATTTAGTGCCTTATAGTATATGTGTCATTTCACATTTCTACCAATAATGTGTAAGGAGCCTATTAACCCAGTTTTGTAAACAGAGCACACTGTTAATCTTTTGATGTTTTCTTCCCCACTAAATAACAGATGAGGTATTTTGGTTTAGTTCTTTTGGATCTCTTTTATTATAATAAATTCAATGAATTTCTTAATCTCAAAGATTATATTTCTATATGTAGATATTCTACTTTCTTTTAAAATATTTTTATTAACATGTTTATAGTACATAATGATTACACTTCTTGTGGGAAGGGGTACACATACATAATACACCTCAATTCTTTTTTTTTCCTTTCCCCTCCACCTTCCACTTTATGCCACCATCAGATTCCTTTATTTATAAGTCCTCATAAAGTTAATTATCACACATAGAGTAACAACCAGATTAATAAACCAAAAAACATATAAAATGCACAAGGCAATTATACTAAATCAAAGTATACTTTTTAGAGACATTGTCCATTCTAGATTATAAAAACATTTTTCTGTTTTTTTTTTCCTATTATGTCTGCACTTTTCCTATTATGTAAGTTGCACTTCATTTATATACAGTAGAGTTTCTCATATAAGAGAAATCAAGTGATATTTAATCTTATGTATCTGATTTATTTAATATTATGGTCTCAAGATTGTCTATTTTCCTACAAATGACTCAAGTTTATTCTTTATGGCAGAGTAGTACTCTACTGTGTATAAATATCAAATTTTCTGTACTCATTCATTTGATGATGAACATACAGGCTGCTTCCAAAACAGCTATTATGAAGTGTGCTACTATAAACACAGTTATGCATACATCATTGTGATATGATTGATGTCTTTAACTCTTTCAGGATTATACCTAGAAGGAGAATATAGGTCAAATGGAATTTCTAGTTTTAGTTTGCTGAGGATTCCCATAGTAATTGTATCAGTTTACACCCCTCCTCACAGCCTCAATAGCATTCGCTATTGATTGATTTCTTGATGATAGCCATTCTTTCTGGAATGAGGAGATCTCAGGTTTTTTTAAATTTGCATTTCTTGAATGGCTGGTGATACATTTTTTCATGTATTTATTGGTTATAGTACTGTATCTCAGAAGTATTTATTCATTTCAGATGCTAATTTTTATTATATCTTTCAATCTGGGGGTGTCTGATTTTCTTGAGTTCTGTATATATTGTGTATTAGTCCTTTATCTAAAGAGTAGCTGGCAAAATTGTTTTTCCATTTTGTAGGTTGTATCTTTACTTGTTGGTGGTTTCCTTGCTGTGCAGAAACTTATTTTTATGTGATCCCATTTGTTAATTTTTGGTATTATCTCTTGTGCAACTGGCATTTTGTTCAGAAAGTTTTTGTCACTAGGGATTTAGATCAGTGGTGCCATGCCTGCCTTCAAGTGCAAGGTCCTAAGTTTGAACCCTGATACCGAAAAGAAAAAAAAATCTTTGTCTACATCCTTGTCTTCAAATGTTTCACCTACATTGTCTCCAGCAGATTAAGTGTTTCTGTTTAAATCTTTGATCCATTTTCATTTTAGTTTAGTGTATGGTGAGAGATATGGGTCTAGGTTCAATTATCAGTATGTGTATAGCCAGTTGGAAAACCATTAGGTAAAGAGGGTATCTTTCCCCCAGCAAAAGGATTTGGCCACTTTGTCAAAGATAAGGTAGATTAATGTGCTTGGACTTGTTTCTGCATCCTGTATTGTGTTCTACTGACCCACATATTTGGTTTTTTTGTTTGTTTGTTTTTATCATTGTAGCTTTGTAGTATAGCTTGAAGTCAAGGCCTTCTGCCTTGTCCTTGATTCCCAGAATTTCCTTTGCTATTCTAGGTCTCTTTTGGTTCCTAATATGAATTTTAAGATTGCTTTCTCTAGTTTTATAAGGAATTCTATTGATATTTTGATTGGGATTGTGTTAAATCTATGTAACAATTTCAGAAGTATAGCCACTTTGACTATATTTGTTCTACTTATCCAGGAACAAGGGATTTCTTTCCATTTTCTGACATCCTCTTCAATCTTCTTTCTCAGAGTACTATAGTTTTCATTTGCTTATTAGTTTTGCTATTATGCCAAATCCATTTTTATTTTATCAAATATTCTATATCTAGTGATTTAAATACAGCATTTAATTATTTTAATATATCAAATGTCTTAAATCTATTTGCTATGTTCATAATGCCCAGCCACACCCACTTGTTCCTTATATGTGCTAGTTTCCAGTCATTATTTTATGCTCAGAATGTATCAGTGAACAAAACAATCAAAGGGACCTATCATTGTGGAACATTCATCACCATGGGGAGAGATAAAAAATAAACAGTTAACAAAATATACAACTAAAACACGTTAGAAAATCTTGTCAAAAGCTGAAGGGTGCCATAGAAGAAGTAGAGCCTGGGAAAGGGACTGTAAGAGCCAGAGGATGGCACAAGTGGCATCCTTAAAATAAGATGGCCATGATAATGCTACTGAGATGGTGAAATTTAAGAAAGATCATGAAAGAGAACAAAGCATATGAATATTTTTGAACAAGAACTTGGAGAGAACAGCTAATACAAAATCCCTAAGGTGAGGGCAGCCAATGTCTGAAGTTTTCAAAGAACTTCAGGAAAGCTGGGGCAGCTAGAAAGCATGGAGAAGGAAGATAATAGTAAGAGAGAGCCAGGGTGTGACATGGGTCTTCATCATGCAGGACATTGGTAGGCTACTGTAATAAGGACTCTGGCTTCTACTTCAAGTTATGGGAGCCATTGGAGGGTTTGTGGCAGAGGAGTGACAGTATCTGACTTCAGTCTCTCCTACAGAGAACAGATCCAGGTGGTAAAAGTGGAAGCAAGAAAATTATTGAGGAGTGTTATAGTTTGGATCTAAAATATCCCCTTACTCAGGTGTTGAAAGTGATTGTATCATGGAAGTACTATATTCACCAATAAATACATCCATTGATAAGTACAGTAGCTAAATGTGCTGCTAGGAGGCCTGGTTGGAGGTGGATCACTAGGGTATGACCCAGAAGGGTGTACATTTGCCCTTAGCTCCTCTGCTCTTTCTCTTTCTTTCCCTAGCTGCCGTGATGTCAGCAGCTTTCCTCCCTATCCCTTCCACCATGCTCTTTCTGATTAGAGTCAGACAACTATGAACTGAATCTAAAAAGAAGCAGAAGCAGAAGAAGAAGAAAGTGAAAGGAAAAATAAACCTCTCCTTAAGTTACTGGGTCTCAGAGATGAAAAAATAAGACAGAGATTACTGGCAGGATCTGGATGAACACTGTGGTAAGAAGCTACTGAACTGGATATACTTGGAAGGGAGAGTCAAGAAGGTCTGCTGATGGGTTAGCTGAGGGGACGGGGGAGAAAGATTGTATGGTGTTATATGGAAAGACAGACAAGAACAGACAGAGCACTGGATTGGAAGAAATCAAAAATCATGTGAAATAGGAAGAAAAGGGCTAAAGGTGTAGGGAAAGTGGGAAGGGTAGGGGAAAGGTAATAAGGGAAAAGAAAAAAATGTGAGAAAATTAAAAAATGGAAAATGAAGTGTTTGTAAATGGGGAGGGGAGGAAGGGGGTGAAGGGAGGGCAGGGACAAGGGGAAAAAATGAGAACCAAGACCTGTCATGTGAAGGTACAGATCCCAATAATGAATGTAACTGTACTGAATACCTAAAATGTACCAATAAACTCAATAAAAAAGTTAAGTTTTAGACACGTTAAAGCGAAAATATCTGCAACACACCCAAGTACAGATGCTGGGCAGACAACTGGATGTGCAAGTCTGGAGTGTGAAAGAGGTTTAGAATGGAAATAGTAATTTGGGAGTAATAAGCATATAGAAGGTATTCAATTTCATTAGAATGAATGAGGCCACCAAAATATTAATGAAGCAAGGTTTTTTTGTCTTTTAAGTGGATCCCTGGGACATTCCATTGAAGAGAACAGGTAAGAGCACACAATTCACAAAAGAGAATGAAAAAAATAGCCAATGAGATATGTATAAACCCGAGAGAATATAGTGCCCTAGCAACCAAGAAAACATATTTTTTAAAAGGAAGGAAGTGAGGCCAATGGACCAAACACAAAGACACAAAGTAACCACTGGATTCTGAAATATACACATGGTTAGTAACCATGAAAAGAGCACTTATATTTTAGACTGGTACAGTCTAAACCTGATTGGAGTGGGCTAAGAAAAAAGTAGAAGGAAAGAAATTAGAAAGAACAAAGATAGACATCTCTTAAAACTTTGCCATAATGGCAAACAAAGAAACAGGATAGGAGCAAAAGTGAAAGAGGCTATTAGTAGAATTATAACTTTTAAGTTAATGGGAATTTTCTAGTTGAGATGGAGCATATGATAACTCTGGAGAGTGGGGACATATTATTAAAAGAACGTGTCCCATAGGTAGAGGAGATAGAACTGGTCCACAAGGACAAGCAGGAACAGAAATCCAGTTCTCATCTTTCCATTACTGATTCTTTCAGTTCACCTTTGGAGTTACCTATCCTACTAAAAATCCCACCATTACAACAGGAGAAAACAGTAGTCCCCTCTCCCATCTGTCCGGGAGTCTAAGCATTTATTTGTGGCTTACTATCTGAGCCTGACAAAGAGCCATTGGTGAGCTTGTTGAATTCTCATTTCCTTAGCTGAGTGCTATGCTATGCACCTTTATATTCTCTTATTATCTTTCTCTCAATCATAGGTATTTTTCAAGGCATTTTATAAACTTTAGAGGGTGTTAAGTAGTGGAGAAATGATAAATCCACAGCGAGTTTCCCAGTCCTGACCAAAATCTGAATTCTAAAGGAATTTCACATCTAAGTTACATCGATCCAGACAATGTCTTCAAAATGCTCCATATGTTCCTACTCACATATGTTCATGGATAAGTTAATACTGTGCAATGCATATTGTTTCATACAACACAAAAATACTCTTTCAATTATTTTCTGTTTTTCATGCTGTCCTATTTCAAATGTCACAGCAAAGCTAATAAATTTACATTATTGATAAAGTAGACATATCCAGAATACAGTCTGCAAATTTGCTTATGTTCAGGTATTTTAACTATGTAGACATTTATAAAATCCATCTTCAATTTTAACTACTAGAAGCCTTTCAGGAAACATGTGAATAAGATCTCTAATAGAGTAACTTCTCCAAAATGATCTTATGCCCCTCAAGGATGTATTAAAGAGTGATCTACTCCAGAGTTTCCAGGTTACCAAATGATTTGATTATTTTGCTAGATTTTACTTGTTTGCTTACTGGGGTCCTGTAGATTGAAGCTAAGACCTCACCTATGCTAGGCTAGTACTCTACAACTGAACCACATTGCCATCTCTTTTTTATTTTTGAGGCAGGATCTTGCTAAAGGTGCACAAGCTGGCCTCAAAGTTATGATCCTCCTGCATCAGCCCCCAAATAGCTGGAATTACAGGTGTGTGCCACCATTATCAGATGGATTTTACCAGCTTAAAGATTACTATTTGTTCATGCTCTCTCTCTCTCTCTCTCTCTCTCTCTCTCTCTCTGTGAGAAAGTACATATGCAGTTGGACTTTATTAAATTCACTGTAGCTTTGATTCTATACATGTTGCAGTCCTCACATTCATACACATTTTGAAGATTTGATGCTGGTTTTTACTGATTTGGTGGTAGTTTCAAATTATTTTTTAACAGATTACTATGCACACAAAATATATCCCATGCTATTACAATACAGTTGCAGGATTTTCTTCACAGAAATAAATAAGAACATTTTATTTTCAAAAAGTACCTTTTGCTTTAGGGTTTTTAAAAAATCATTTTGTAGTAGAAAATTAAATATTAGTTTCTTTGATGTGCTAGTTTCACAGAAAGGAATATATTACTGACGAAGAATGCATGCTATTTTATAATTATATTTCATTTAACATCTTCTCAGAAAAAAAATGTTCATTCGTTTTTGTTGTAGGTCTGGGAAAAGGGTGATAAAAAGCCTTATAGTCCAGGCAATCACGCTGAGAACAAAGGGCAGGTGTCATTTTTTATTGTGATTGGCCAGAGCTGAAATCAGGGCTCGCTCGCGCTCGCTCTCTCTCTCTCTCTCTCTCTCTCAAAAGCTTTTGTGGAATTTACAGTAATCACACCGGCTGACTGCCCATCACACAGCTGAACAGCACACCAAAAAAATATCTGGGGAGAAGACCACAACATATTTTTTAAATTCTCATTGTTTTATTCTTCAGTTTGGAAAGATGTTTTTTTTTTAAGAGAAAAGAAAAAAACTCACCCAGCTGTTACCAGTATTCGTATTCCAATCGCCTCCAGACCACTCGAGGCCACCTGGTTGACTTTTGCCTTGGAATTGGTCCAGAAAAGCATTATTTACCCTTTAAAACAATGAAAAATGTGTGTAAGTAGAAAGCTTGCTTCAGGGCTAAGAGATTTTTGAGAAGTTAATGTGCTGTATGAACTGACTGTGGGGATGGCTGCCTCACTTCAGCTTGGAAGAAATCTACAGAATTGTCTTTTCACATTCACCGCAAGGCACGCTGGGAATGGTCCTTTACTGGAGTTGGTGCCAGTCTTGGCTCAGGCATGAATTCTTAACTTCAGGATTTCACTCACCCATCTTTCACCGAGTAAGCAAAAAGCCTCGGTCACACAAACAACTGCATCCCCTGCCCCGCAGAACCACAAACCCCAGAGACTGAGAGAAAAAGCTTCAGCAGGGACCTGAGTGGAAGAACCTCACAAAATATCTCTGTGGTACTATTGTTACAAGAAAGATCTCATTCCCGTATATTCTGTGCTCTATTGCAGGTCTTGCTCAAGTAAACCTTCATCAATGAAGTCAGAAGGAAAACAGGAAGAGAGTATGGTAAAAGAGAAATATCAGAAGAGAAACCCGCTTAAAACAAGGGCAGGATCTAAGGAAGGAGAGGGGAGTAATAATGGCCGTGGTATAATTTGCCAAAACGAATGCAATTATTAGGTATCACAAATGTACACTAATTTTTTTTAAAGGAATGAGTACATCTTTTCCTGACACTGTCACAATTTCAACAACCAATTTCAGAAATTCTGAAATTTCTCTCAAAAGTCAAGATAGAACTCCATGTAGTGTGGTGTTCCCAAAGTCATCTCCCAAGATCCACAGGAGAGTGGTTCCAGGATTACCCCCACCACACACCACTGGGATCCCCTAATGCTGAAATCTGTGAATGCTCAAGTCCTTTAGAGAAAATGACATAGTATTTGCATACACCCTGTGCTCATCCTCTAATATACTTCAAATCATTTCTAGATTACTTCTCATACGTAATACAATGTGAGTGCTATGTCAAGATCTCTTATACTGTATTGTTTAGGGACTAGTGACAAGGAAAATGTCTGTACACATTCATTACAGACAACGCTCTTTCCAAACATTTTCAATGCACAGTTGACTGAAGCCATGGATGTGGAACCAACAGACATGGAGGATCAACCGTAGGCTATTTGAGCAGATGGCTAACTGGAGTTTCACTTTTTACTTAATATTGTAAATATTTGCTCAATAGACTGTTTCATATACTTCATATTATAATTTTTAAGATTAAAAATATAGATTAAAGACAGCATCATGCTTCATGTTGCCTATGCATAACTGAGTAGAGTTAGGGGCTTGGAAGCTAGAGAACTAGCGATTGATTACTTAGGAATTATGCAAATAAGACTATGGGCTTCTTAGAGGAAGAAACATAGTGCCTGCACACAGCGGCCACTCAACACACATTTCTGGAAAGAAGAAAAGATGGGAATCAGACACAGTAGCCTCCTTTCAGTCATGACAATTAGAAGAATTTGGTCATGGTGGGTGGCTGTAAGTCATCAACAGATTTTTGGGGACTTTGAAAATCAATAATGTCGGGGATCTTTGCATTGAGCTACATTCACCACCCTTTTCTATTTTTATTATTTTTATGTTGAGACAGGGTCTTACTATGTCACTAAGCTGTCCAGACTGGATTTGAACTTGCCATCCTCTTGCCTCAGCCTCTCAGAGGTCTGAGATCACGGGCAGTTTTCTTTAGTCACCTGTCACCTCCAATTTCTCCCTTATCCTCATATCCTGTGATTAAGTCTATATAGTACTTAGCACCATCTCAAATAATCTTGATGTTTAATTATTCACTTCTGTTTCTTTTTTCCAGATTGTAATATCTACACGGTCAGGTATCTTTCGACCTTGTGTACCCCATTCTTATAACCTAGAACCAAGCCTTGGCAGAGTGTGCCATATGTGCTTATCGAATGAATGAGTCCTTCAGGTACATCCCTGCTGCCATGACAGGGGCGGAACTGTGAAAACCCCACTGCTGGTGAGTGTGAAATGCACATCATCTCAGTGTCAATGGCTCCCTCTTGCTTGATTGTTGTGAAATAATGTAATTCTTTCAATTTAGATCATCAGTTCCTTAGAAGATCTGAGTTTCTGAGCTCTCCTTATGCTTTGGGAGTATCCTAAAGCTTGTCCACTATGTCGTGGGTCCACAAGAGCTAACAGACTATAAAGAGATTGCTCCTCTCGATTCCCATCAAGAATGCAAATTGGGGGAGAGGGGTGCTCCAGTTTATATTTTTGTTGACTTTTTATATGGCACATACATTTTATTGCTGTTAAACTTGGGCTCTGGGTTTTCTTCTAGGGGTAAATTCAGTGGGGGCTGCAGTTTCAATAAATCAATTTAGTTCAACTGTAGCACAGATCCTTTCAAGGTCTTGACCCCCATATTCTGCCAGTTCTCTCTGGGGTTTCTACTTGTCTCCTCTTGTTCAAAGAGTTACACTGGATCAGGGTCAGGGTAAGGCTCAAACTCATTACAGGACTCATTTCAGAATTCACTGAGGAATCCCACAAGCTTTCTGTTATAAATGAGGACTCTGCTATGTGAACTTTTGAACAGGAGAAAGCATATTGCCTTTTCAACTTCAATGAAATTATACCCCTGGAGAACGCCTAATTCATGTGCCCTATGCACATACTGTACAGCTTGTATTGTCACCCCAAGTAAGAACTGATATGGCTATTTTATTTATTAAGAGTTTATGGAAGGAATAATCTCATATGATACTATGAGAAAGCTCCCTGTAAACTTTAAGGGTAACACAGATGTAGGCTGTCTTCAAAACTGATGGCAAACATGAAATCAATTAAACTAAAGACAATCACTTCTTTTAAAACTGATTCATGAGCTTGTTATTCAGAGAAATTTCCTCATGGATTGAATTGGGTTCTTTCTACATTTAACTAGGATCAGTAAAAGAGAAAATAAGGTATAGAAAATAAACTTCCTCACCAATAATTAGATATTCAGTGGTATGGAAATAAATTTAAAGATTGAGGATCAAGATTCCTACATCATGTAAAGGTACAAGATCTCAGTGATGAATGTTACTATTTTGTATACCTAAAATGTACCAATAAACTTAATGAATTAAAAAAAAGAATTCTCAAAAAAAAAAGATTACTATAGCAAAAATAATAATCTTTCCCACCTGTAATCAAATAATTTGTGCATTTATAAAGTCCTATTAAAGATTAACCTATTAGTAATGGGGATTATTAATGTGACACATCACTATCTTTAAGACATTTAAGCCTTCTAAATCCAACTAATCCTCAGGAATCCAGAGAAAGACATACTGGGCTACTATTAGCAACCTGTGCTACATAAATACAGAGTTACAGGTTTTTTTTGTTTTGTTTTGTTTTTTAACAGAAAGTCTTCAAAAGACAAAATGAGAGCTGGATGTGGTGGCACGTGTCTGTAACCCTAGCACTTGGGAGGCTGGGGCAGAAAAACTGCCACAAGTTTTTAGGCTGGGGTACATAGTGAATGCAAGGCCAGCCTTGTCACCTTATCTCAAAAACAAAACAAAACAAGAAGAAAAATTGAGAAAAAAAACAATAACAAAGTAGTAAATAATTTGCAACCTATTTTATAGTAACTAGGGAGCAGTGTCCCTCTCACATTACCCAATGAAACAGCCTAAGCCAATATGCCAAAGTTTTGATATTTCCTTATATCAGAGAAAAACATAAATTCATATTCGACATTTTAAAACTATTTTGACTAGAATACGGAGGCAGCAATGCCCCATCAAAAGAACAGGAACACCCATCCATAGTGATTCATACTACCACAGCCAGGAGCCTCTATGTTTTTTAATCTCTCGTTTATAAAATGAATTCACCACAACTCAAAAGGACACTGAATGATAGCGGGAAGATTAAATACATAAGGAAGTCTTTCACTTTCAAAAGAAGGATTTGTGTCTTTAAACTGTGAAAGCCCTTATATTAAATTTTTCTAAGGCACTCAGGCACCATTACCTTCCACACTCCACATCCCCATGAACTCTAATAACCTAGTGCCTCCCAGGAGAATCAGAGCCTAGCAATGCCAGACAATACGGTGGCCATGAGCACTCTCCCACCATCAATGCATGATTTTCCTGGGTACTCTCAAGTACTTAGTTCTGATAACACGAAAAAGCTAGAGCGTATTTAGCCTATTAAAAATTACTTACTGGTTCTGTTTTGAAATATTTTCCCCAAGAGTGTGAATCAATATGAAATAACTTTAATGAGTTTTTGTCTGAGCTTTTGTATTCAAGTACTGGTATCTGCCATCAATACTAATTCAATAAAGTAGCCTACAAATGTTAAAGCATCATCTCAAAGGATTATGAGGTTCTTTCCAACAGAGGGCAAATTAATGTAACCTAAATAAACATACAGCTAAAGAGTATGATTCAGTTTTCTAGTGTTATATAATGTATATAGCAGTTGGTTTACCAAGTACAAGTACATAAACCATAACCCAATAAAAAGCACTTAAAGGTAATATGGATTCCAAAACTATATTTAATAATATTACTGTAATGTTTTCCCAAAACACTGCAAAACTTTATAAGTAATTGATTTTACCAAAGTTGCTTATTTTATTAGCTAGTTATACCTCTTGTGCTCAGATATGTATATAGCAGTTGGTTTACCAAGTACAAGTACATAAACCATAACCCAATAAAAAGCACTTAAAGGTAATATGGATTCCAAAACTATATTTAATAATATTACTGTAATGTTTTCCCAAAACACTGCAAAACTTTATAAGTAATTGATTTTACCAAAGTTGCTTATTTTATTAGCTAGTTATACCTCTTGTGCTCAGATTGATGGATTTTAGCTCTTTCTTCCTCATGAGGTTGTCGTGAAGGTTCTGGTAATTTATTCTAGGAACAATAAAAGTTTTAAAATATGGTTTTCAATTAACACGGCTATACAGGAGATACCCTAATCAATTACATGTTTAACCTTAGCTGATGCAAATATTTCACTTTTGAAACTTTCACTTACGTACTCTTTGGCTGTGAAATTATTTTTCTATATAAGTAGGTAGCAAAAGTAACTGTAGTTTAGTAAAACACAATGGCCCCATGAGTGTAAAATTGTTAGATTAAAAAACCAGCATGTGTGGTCAAGAAATTAGACCAAGAGGTACAAGGTACACGGAGGAAAATACAATGTGACTCAAACTCAACAATATCTTACAAAGACAAATAAATCAAATTAGTTCCTTTGAGAGTATCACACAAAATTATTTCTTGGAATTTTTCTAGCACTTTTTAAATGCATAGCAATTTGCAAATAAATTATTGAACTCAGTAAAGCATGCTTCTTCCTGGAGAATAAGAATTTGCCCATTATTATTTACTTCCCAAACTAGCAGAACTTTGGGGTTCCTCAAGGGGATATTTTGCTTCAAATAGGTCACAGTACAATAACTAAATATGTAGCTTGCAACATCCTAATTATCTTCTCAGATGAGGCAACTTCTTCCAGACTCAGTGACTATGTTTACAATCTTATACCAAAGGACTGTCAGGGTTTCTGTATATACCCAGTTATTTACCTTGAGGCAGATTGACATTTAGTTCCATTTTTAAGACAGGAAAAAGCAGAGCAAAGAAAGTATGAGGCCCAAATCACAAATTGGTGTTTGAATCAGAGAGAACTTCTAGTAGGAAAAAACAGTGTCACATCTTGATAAATACATAGCAGTGGATTACTGTGGTACCCTTTCCCCCCGCCCTGAAACTTCTTGCACTCAAAATTCAGACTGACTTTTTTATTTCTTCAAAGGCCATCTAGTGTTTCACAGTTCCCAAAATAAAGGACTTATTTCCTCCACTGTGATATTTCAAATAATCTGATTGCTCATCGGTCTCTAAAGTACATTATTTAATCTTAATTTCTATTTAGCAGCAACCATAGAAGATTAGACAGTTTTCAAAATAACTGAGTAATATCCATTCAACAAATGTTTATTAAGAAGGAGACACAAAGCCTTTTGTGTCAGGGTCTCCCTTTTCCACAATGGCATAAAATCTCTTAATTTTTGGTCACTTTAACATGTTTATAGCGTTAAAAGTCTAACAATTTCAGTATTAGTCATTAGTATTGCCATAGCTAATACTAAAATAAAACCAACTCTTGTCCTCTCCCATGCCTGAACAGCTACTTTGAATTCTTCTGTGGTCTTGTCAAAATGATGTCCTTCTTAATAGCATGTGTACTCCATTTATCAATTTTAATAGTACTATTTTTAAAATTCTAAGGAAAAAAATTATTACTATCTTCAGCCCAAACTTCCCCTTCTAGTATATCCTGTCATTCTGAAAAATCTCTTTTTAATAAATACTCAGTGTGGTGGGGGAGTGGGTGGATCTCCTGGTCTATAGCTCCTCCTTTGGGCTCTCAATCTGTCTCCATCTTCCGGTTTTCAACTCAGGCCTCAGGGATGCCAGGTGCTTGCAGTTCCTGAATTTTAATAACCTGTGTCTTACTGCTTTTTTCAAATAAATTCCGGCTTTTCCTGTTTCACTAAGTCAGTTACCACTAATTACGTTTCAACTTCAAAAACTTTTGCTGATATGCCCCTCTTGTTACAATCTCCTTGTCTGTATTTTGTTCTTATAAGTTTATACCTTAAAAAAAAAAACTCCTATCATTTTTTTTTTTGCAGGATATAGGGAGGGACAAACGATAAGCAAATGAAATATTTTTAAAGTGTAATGTTTAACCAAGAGACCCTAATATTTTCAGTTAAATTTTTACTGGAATTATGTTACTTAATGCTCACAATAATTCTCAAAGGTAGGCAGGTAAGCAATCTATTATTTGCTAATGAAAGAGTAATACTATGCTTGTTTTACAGGTGAGGAAACAGAATCATAGTTTCAGTAACTTGCCTAGAGCTAAATAGCTTATTAACAGCAAAATCAATACTGGGCATTAAATTTTCTGTATCTAATCATCTTCTGCAGAATGCATCCAAAATGTTCACATATGAGCAGCCACACCCAGAACTACAGGACGCATTCACACTCAAAAGTATTAGTAGAACATATCTAAGCTTAAATGTCAAGGAATTCTAACTCTTCTCATACTCATTAACTTGTTTCTCCAAGAACAAAACAGATGAGATCTTAGCTGTTTACATTCTAGAAAAAAGAAACCCATAAATAAATGAGAAAAATAGTCCTATGCAAAGGATTAAAAGACACTGGAACTCAGTGGCCTGGTGATTATTTTAGGTTGAGGTCTGTGGAAGTGGCTAAAGGTCTCACATAACTAACAAGAAAAAGATTTTAAATAAGCAGAAAAAAGAACCAAAAGACAGGATAGTCGCTTCACAGATAAACTACAGATTAACTATAAGTTCAAAACGGTCATCATTTTTGTGCAAAGAAATATAAATCAAAACAATTAGATAAATTTTTTATCATATTGACTAAAAACAGAAAAATTCAACAGGTACGAACACTTTGGAGAAATTTCCAAATTAGTGAAAACTAATTTAGTTTTTGGAGGACAATTTAACAATATGTGCTAAGATATAAATTTTATGTCTCCTTTGCAGAAAAATTCAAAGGTGTATGTACTCATACGTAGAAATTTACATTTGTATTATTGAAACTGTTAACGTTCAGGAGAAAAATCTCAATGCCTACCCATAAGGAACAATAAATTAGACCATCCACACATTGGATATTGTGAAATAGTTACAAATAACTGTTGGGGGTAACTGTTGTGGGAGAGAGGGGTCTTTGGAGATATATTAAGTGATAAGGGATTAGTCCAGAGTACTTGAATATCAATTTCAGCTTTTATATGCTGATATATAGATAGATAGATATAGATATATAAAATATTTAAAACACCTTGAAAATACACCAGAAAATATTAACTATAATTATTACTGGGTAGGTGAACTTGAAGGGTGAATGAACAGGAAGAAAGCTTTATATCAACAGAGATTTATTTTTCATCTGGGAGGACAATTCTGCTCGTTTTGCTTTCCTTTATTTAGAAACTCCAAAAATTACAGCTTTTAAACAGCACTGTGGCACACACCTATAATTCCAGTACTCTGGGAGGCTGACACAAGAAGATTGTGAATTCAAGCCCAGCCTGCACAACTTAGTGACTTAGCAAGACCATGTCTCAAAATAAAAAATAATGAGAGCTGGGATGTAGCTCAGTGCAAAAATCCTGAGTTCATTTCCCAGTATTGCAAAAACAAAAACACAACATAGTTTTTTAAATTTAGAGGTGTAAAAGAGGAAGACACTAAAATGAAGCTAAGAACTGCTTAGGGAGGAAGAAAAAGGAAGGGAGGAGACCTACACACATCATCCTATTACAGAAGCAAGCACAGGAAGAAGAGATAAAGACCTGGTGGGAAACTGGGATAGGGAGCTGATGAGGCATCACCACGCAAGAGCATTGTTCCAAATGACAGAAAGGAAGGTGCTGGCATCTCCACACTCAGCATTATTTTCCTATAAGTAGCAAAGTGCATTTACTAGAGAGACGCTGGTTTTTCTTTGGTACCTATAAAGATAATTTCAACTAATTGATTTGTTCTGATGAACTGACAGCCCCTGAGGATATATCTGCGTGCCTTGTAAGCATATTCTTGGTTCATTTACTGGGTTCTCACACAAATGTGCAGTATCTAGTTGGACAAATACAAAATAAGCTGTTCTTGTTCCAAGGACTTAGCTTGGGACACAAAGAGAATCAAAACATTGTAAGGAGGAGGAGATGATACACAAATCTGAGACACTGTCAGGTCCTGTCCCATATGATACATAATCATTAAGCACGAATCACTTTCCAGACACCCAGGTCCATGCTGAAGGTTCAGATATGCAGCCCCACTCTGAAGGGAATCACAGTGCAACGAGGGAGGCAGACACAGAAACAACTCTGATACAAAGCAAAAAGGTGTAAGATATGAGTTCAAGCAATGACATGGGAGAGATGTAAAAGGAGAAACAGGTGTTCAACATTGTGTGTGCATCCACAAAAGCTCTCCAGAGAAGGAGAGCATCTTATCGCTGTGCCACATGACTCACAAAATCCAGACAGGTGTGAAGAGGGCCTGTTAGAGACCTGATGAACAAAACACCATCTCGGAGAGTCCAAGAAGAAGATGCCCTGTGAACCCTGGGCAAGTAGATCACGGTGAATGAGGATGTTGCTGCCCACAGTGCCACTGCCTGGCACACCAGGGAGGAGTGCTCTGCTGGAAAGGTGCAAAAAAGCACCAAGGGTCAGTGCTTGGAGTCCATGCTAACGGCAGGGAGTAGAAGGGTTGGCATCTCTAGCTAGAGATTGTGAAGATTAGTTCTCTAGGCTTTACTTTCTCAGTAGTTCCCTGGCCTATTGAAGGGCCATCTATTCAAACAGACAGGTGTGTACAGGCTGAAGGTTTGAGAAGCTTGATGAGGCTATAGCGAAAGGCATGTTCCAAAGCCATGCTTCAGTGTGGTAACTGAAGGCGAAGATCAGGCCATTTTAAAATCATGTCTGAATCCCACTGGGGCAGGTGATGACATGGTTCAGCCGGGCTGCTTCATGTAAAACATTAAAGCGCGATCGCCTGGCTGATAGATAAATCTCTCCCAGAGGATGCTTTTGCAATCCAAGAGGAAAAAAACAGAGGAAGCAGGAGGGCTGAGGTCACGAAAGGTTAAGAATCCCTGCCTTTGAGACTGGGATGGTGGTGCATGCCTGTAATCCCAGCACTCTGGGAGGCTGAGGCAGGAAGATTCCACGTTTGACCCTAGCATTGACAACTCAGTGACTTATGAGACCCTGTCTCAAAATACAAAATAAAAAAGGGCTGGGAATGTAGCTCATTAAAAAGACCTGTGTTCAATCT